TAAGGTTTTAGGTACTGAAATCTACGAAAATACTATCTTTTTTATATATAATTCCACATGTAAATATTCTTATAACATTTACTTGCTTAGTCCTACATATAAAATTGTTTACTTTTTATAAGTACGTGAAAATAATTGTTAAAATGTGGGGTTAGGATAATAGCAAACGCATGTTTTGCAAACGCTTTTTTTTAGTTATTATTTTATTTGGGTAAATTTAAACGGTAACCATGAATAAACAAAACATCAAGGATTTTATTTTTGTGCTTACCCCTACTTTTGTTCTACACGTTTTACTTTTAAAGATTTCAGTACCTAAAAACGCCAGAAATTTCACTATTTCTCGGCCAATACAATTTACAATAAACCAACTCTGTGTTTTCGCTTTCATTTTCAAGGGTAGCGACACCTGTGACAGAGTACACAAACTAATTTTATTTAGAAATTCTTGTAGAAGATAGAAACCGCTAAAATTCTGGTTTAAATATATAATAAAGATGGAGTCGTGTGTCATCTTACTTGAGGACACAAATTATAGAATTGTTAATAAATATTAATCTGAAAATTAAATACAAATGATCCTAAGTGTCCGTTCTAGTGAGTGAAGTAGTTTGGTTATTGTGCCTGACCTAGTTCCGTCGTAAATGCAATATATTGAGAGACTAACAGTATGGTTAAAATTGAGGTACTTTGGCATTTATATAAATTATTCTTCTGTTAACCATTGCGAATACATTGATATATAATAATATTCAATTATGTTAGTTTCTTCGATGATTTGTGTCCTCATCTGAAGCTCTGTTACATGGTAAAAATATACATACTAAATCGCCCCCTTAAATTATAAGGTTGCATCTCGGGTCGAATAAAAACATTTCCAAAGTTTTTAATAAATAACACAGGGTCGACCTTTATTTTCGTTGAATAAATGAACTTTAATTTACAAAAAAAAAAAACGTGAAGACAGAACTTTTTCGTATAAGAGTTTTCTATTACAAACATCATCAGGAAGCTGTAGTTTAATATTTATAGATTATACACTCCACACCCTGTATATATTACATAATTCATAATCTGCTAAACTAGGTAATTAGTTAACGTGTGGTTTTTATGTTAAAGTAATTATTTCTTTGTGTGAGAATTTTGTTGCTGAAAAACCACACAAATACCAGATAAACAAGGATAGGTTTAAATACGCCAAAAATAAATAATTACAGGAATTACGTTATGATTATACAGATAAGAAGGTACAGTCACTTAAGTATTTAACAATCAATACTTGTTAAAGAAATTCTGTCAAAATGCAAAACGTCCCATCAAAATTTGATACTTGTCAAACTGTTATTAATAAAAGTAACAATGTAATCATTTAGTCATATCTCTACCAAAGTTTAAATTTTATCATTAAATGAAATTCCTATTATATTTTTCTACTTAATATTTTTGGAACACTCT